GGGGCGGTAGCAACATCCTTCTGGGAGGGGTGAAACGCCTCGGAGGAGGTCTGGGTCGAGGCGCTAAAACAGCTGTGGCGGTAATCTCCTGCCCATCGATTTGACCTGTTTGTATCACAGAAGAAAAAACATTGAGTGCTGCAGCCACCAAACTTCTCTATTTTCCACTTCCACATTTTCTACTTCCGCCTGCTTAAAACGCCAGCGGGCAACTGTTCTTGAAGCATACACAGAGAAAATGCAAGAAGTAGGCGCCCTGGGAATGGATGGATACCAAGTTAAAAGGAAGTCAGTAAGAAGAACATGTCAATGAGATGAAAATTTCCCAACCATTAGCAATATATCTTGGGCAAGAGTTTCTCAACCGGGGCAACTTGAAGAGGTGTGCATTTCAACTCCCAGAATTCCCCAGCCAGCCACCTGATGTCCACAGGAGTCCCCTCCACCACCATCCCAATTTTCCTTGACACTTGATCTGGAACCCTCTTAATTCCAGACCCCTACCTCCATCCATGTGTTTCAATGCTTTTTCAGCATCATCTGGATTCTCAAACTCTACGTAGGCATAGCCTCTGGAAAGGTGGGGGTTGAGCCTATCTGCTGGCATATCAATCATCTTGATCTTTCCGTAAGTAGAAAATATTTCCATGATGTGATCCTAAAAGGAAAAAAAATTCCTGGCATCACTATACGTTCCCATTATCTTCAGCCTTCTAAAAGAATATTGAATAAGAAACAGCTACGCCTTTAACTTGAGATGTACGCATATCAGCCAAATCCATGAAGAGGGATTTCTATTTCAGGTTTGCTTTATCTTATCTTTAACTTTAAAAGAAAAATAATACAGAAATACTAGCGGTGATAGAAGCAAGGTTTAAGACAAGAGAGCTCAATTGGCAGGTGCAATTAAATTTACTACTGAAAAAGCATCAGACAGCAACTGGGTATGTCAAGTGGGGAAAAGCCTCTCTTAAACTATGGAAAACCACCAACGGAATAGGTAATGGAGGAGCAGGATGATCAAATGTAATCCTGAGTTATTCCTCCTGAAATGATACTCATGTTTTCACAAGCCCAACCTAAGCTCTTTTACAATTTTGACTCCCAGTTTCCCAACCTTCAAATTATAATTTTGATTTCTGCTCCTTCGGGGTCTGATTTTTCTCCTTTTTGGATCCAGTTAAGTGCCTGGTTGCAATTACCTTTGTGACATTTCTAGTAAGCCTTCCGACGTGAACTTTGGTGGGCTTAGGGGAGGGACTCCTCCTCTTCCGTTCTTTTTCATCTCTCTTGGTTGGTTTAGATCTTGGGAGAAAATAGAGATCATTTTCTAAGGAGCAAGCTTGTAGTAAAAGTCAGCTGCTGGCTACCATTTAAATGGCATGCTATTTATACAACAGCGTGCCTGAACAATGTACATTTCAATATTGGATCTTCAGGCATGATAGGAAGACAGCTGTGTTAAACCTATGGTAGCAAAAAACATCAGTAATTTGGTAGCATCTCTTCTGATTAATAAATCTTATTAAATGGCACCAGCTTTCATGAGCTGCAGTTCTCATCATCAGATATGTAGGTTAGATGTAGTTAGATGTAAGATTAAAAATGCGGTAAGATGGGGGGAAGGAAAGCAAATAAGATGATTATGCAAATTCATGTGATTACAAGTACCTCATCAATTAACAGTTGCAATGTGATAAAAAAACATTGTTTACATCTGCATAAATCAAACTATCATCCTCACCTTACTTCCTACCTCAACCCTACACCAGTCTAGCCACTCTGCTTCTGATAAAAGGAGCTGCATCTCTTGAAAGCTTTTGCCTTTTCATAAAATGTGTTAGTTGTAAAAGATAGCAAATTCC